ACAAACTTAGAGGAGGGAAAGAAAACCAACACTGCAGTCAGCTGAAGATGTGGACGACCAACATGCTGAGAAGGAGACACTTGAGGTTGAAGATGGTGAGAGATACTGATGAGAAGACACACAACACTAAGGAGGTAGCTGAGACAAACTGAATGTAAACTGTGTATGGACGCGTGTAGAAATAAACCACCTGTTGGAGGAAAACTGACAGCTGCTGTGTGAACTTGAAGGATACAGGATGTCTGATGGATATTGTAACAAGAATGATGCTGAAGTACCAAACAGTAAAAAAAACACAAAATCTTAATAACAAGCACTGAGCCATAAACATGATACTCCCTGGTTAAGGTAAAGATGTCACATTACAGCATAGGATTGTAACTGTCAAACAAAGCAACGTTCACTTGTAGTGTAGAAGAGCTGTAGATGTCAATAAGAGTTAAAAGCCCAGGTGTATAAATGTTTTTGTGCATAATTGATACATTATTTTAAAAAATTCCTTTACATTTTTGTAACTTTGTTTTCTTTCACTGTATGTATGACTGTTTTGCTGATGTTTCATCCTGTCATATGTAAACAGTATGGGGCATTCCTCCAGAAATAACTTTTCCCTCAGTGCCTGAATAAAAATATCAATTGTATAAATGTAAATAAATAGAGGATGACTTAAAATGTGTTGTTTACTCATTTATTGTTTCTGTTCTTCACAATCACAAAACTGGTACATCAGAACCAAACACAAGGTAAGCAGTTATTACTTGAACTAAATAATCCTTTAAAGAACTGAGACAAGTGATTTTGCTTAAAGTTAAACAATAAGTCAATCAGTAGTTTGAACTAAATATTTCACCCACATATTTAAAGTCACTTACTATTTACCTGCCGTCAAGTGGTTGTAAACCTTTATGAGCTTATTTTTTCTCTTTACACTAATAAAGGTATCATAAAGAAAGCTGAAAATCTGTAATTGAAATTGTAGAAAAACCAACAAATACAATGGAAGTCAGTAGTTACAGGTTTTCAGCTTTTATCATAATATCTGTATTTGTGTTCAACATATCTTAATATTTGGGTGTATTATTTTATCTAATGTTTATTTTATTTAATCTTGTTCTCTATGAACTTAATGTATTTGACTAAATAAAATTAATAATAATATTTACATTTTTTGTTCTGTTGCTTTCATTCCATTTATTGTTCATATTTTTAAAATACTTTGGATACAAACATCTATCCAATAGTTTGTAAATGTAAGTATTAGATGTACCTAATGAAATAAAATAAAATAAAAATGCAATACATAATTACAAATACTTACTGTGGATTAATGATGTTCAAACTAAAACAATGTTTATTAAGACATTAATGATATACAGTATGACATGTCATTATTATCAGCAATGAGGGGTCGGCAGCAGCGCACTCCGTTGGTTTGCAGTTAATTCAAGCGGATCTATACCCTGTATGTAAGTCAGTTTTTCAAAATTACGATCCCTGGCATGTTTGTTTAGTTTATTGCGGTGCCGCGTGCTCTCGATTTTCTTGTATTTCTCCAGATTGACCTTGTTATGGCATGTATCTCTCTTGCGTTATGTGTCTCTCTCAAGTTGTCAAGCGAAGCGATACCACAAAAATGGCGCCGGTGTGACGTCACGCACAACAACCGCACGTGACTGACAAAGACCGATAGTGGAGGAACCCTTTCTGCTTACCTGGTGATGCTGACCGGCCGAGAGGAGCAGGAGAGAACACACGGACAGGTGAACCACTGAGCAAACACTGGAGGAGAAACACACAGGTGGGTGAAACAGCAGGTAGAGCTCTTCTTCTTGTTTTATTGGCGGTTTGCATTCTTAAACAGAGCATTACCGCCCCCTACTGTGAGTTGTGGGTCAGAGACTGAATTTCCTTTTCCTCTGGACTCTTCAAGGCAGAGTTCTGATCTGATTGTGTGCTTTCAGAGAGGCTGTGATTGCGGTGCAGGTCAGTGTAATCCTGCAGAGTGTACCTGCGGTGGAGTGTGATGCTGAGCATGGAAACCCTACAGGTGAAACACACCTCTGCTTTGCTTTAATCTGGATATCTTGTGTTGAGTGATTTCATTAATGAAGGAGTCTTTGCTTTCACCAGACCTGAGTGAAGTATTCCTGTTCATGTTATCGTCTTCTCTAATGGATCTTCTGTCTGTCACTGGTGTTTTCTGTTGAGTTTATTCCCGGTCAGCTGTCATAGTAATGTCTTGATTAGCTGCTTCAGGTGTGTTGAATTAGAGTTTGCATGTAAAGTGTTCTGTTCTGCTTCTGACTGACCTGTATTATGTGTGTTTCAGATGTAGAAATCCTGCTTCAGCTTGCTCTCCTCGCTTCATTTAACAGTAGTGGT